CGATGAATGCATCCTAATAAGGCAAATTTCTGTTTCAGGTCGACAGACGTGCTAGGATTTTTCACAAAGCATGTTCGTGCAACACTGGCGACTCATGCAACAAATTGATTTGGCAAGAAATAGAGAGAGGGGACGCGCCAGAAGACCTTTTTGGGAACTCAACTAGCCCAGTGGGGTCATCTATGAACTCGACAAGCTATTAGCTTCCTCATCCCCCACTTTCTTCTCCACGATTAGTTCCATTCGTTAAATTTTCGCAATCTCGCCTCTTTTAAAACTATTTTTGATTACCTCCCGCTATTACCTCTCTAACACTGTTACCTCTCCTCACTATTACCTCACTATCTTGTTACCTCTCGATTTGCATCACATGAAATGAAAAAATAATAAAGTGTATTTTACTTTAAAAGGACTTCTGGAATATTTGAACAAATGTCCTACAGATGTACACGGAAAACTTCATTTTCCGATAGTTTAGAAAATTCTATGAAAAATGGTTCCACGACTTTCAATTTTTCAAGAAAGCATCTGTCAAGCTGCAAAGTACTCTGTAGCCAGAAACTTGAGAAGCAAAACGGTAAGTACCAAATTAGTAGAAATCATGCTTTGATTTTTTCAGTTGCAGATAGCTTTGAAATTCTGATCAAAAACGGAGCGGTTCGATATGTCATAATATTTCTGTATAAGCGAAACAAAAATAAGCTTTTGAATTTGTAAATTATACATACATTTTTTGTACAAGCCAAATGAAGATAGATACGCGTTTTTTATTCGGCATTTTCGACACTTTTTGGTTACATATTTCATCACATAGAATCGAGATGTGAATGATAAAAATTAACTTTTTAGGTGTCTTAAATCCAGAAATTTTTAACACAATGAAACGCTTTCATGATTCTGTTTCAGTATTCTAAAATAAACTGTGTATGCCATCAACGTTGAGATCATAAATCTCTATTCCTGTCAAAGATATCAAAAAGTGATTGACTGACAGAATGTTTATCATAATGTTAGCAACATTTTATCTGTTGACCACTTTTTGATACCTCTCAAGGAAATTAGATGCATGAGCTTGAGTTGACAGTTTAAGTGGCGTTCGTTAATAGTGTTTACAGTGCTTTTGGCTGCAGTCAAATTATTCAATATGCAGCATCAATGAACAGACCGAACAAGTTATCAATAGTGTTTCTTTTTCACTAAGTCGATTTTGCATTGATTACAATGTACAGAAACCATGAGCAGATATCCGTTTTGGAACTTTCGACTTTCTCTTTTCTCGAAAAATTCATTTAACATTCCATACAAAATGTTTACAAAGTTTTTGAATATCACGCAAAAGACCATTGGTCATCCCGCTCGAAAAAAAAACGTTTTATGTTTCTTTTTTTCATGGTCAGTGAAGCAAAAAAAGTTCTCAAGGACCACACTGAAAGAAGATGGATTAGAATTTTTTCAATGTTGCATTTTGTTCCAATGCAAAAAAGAAGATACGTCCATAAAACGAGCAAACTCACGCGATGGACCAATAATTTGAAACAAATTTAATCCGTCCGAAGAGAAATGTTTAGAACCGGGCTCAACAAAAAAGTTGTGAAAATACTTATGTTAGAAGGAAAAAAAAAGTTGGGGCATTCCAAGCTACCGTACCACAGAATTTTTTCTTGTAGGACTGAAAAAAGGCAAAAAATGGTGGTATTTGTTATTGGAAGAGTTTGTGTCAAATTCCAAATAAATTCGGACAGTGCTAATACACAAAAAAAGGATAAGAAAGAAAATTACGGGTATATTGAAAAAACCTCAAGGAAATTAATTGAAAAAAAATTAGATGAGAAAAGTAGTCACTGATTATCACTAACATTTAGCTGGAGCACTATGATACAAATCTGAAATTTCTCGAAAAGATAAAAAATTTCCAAAAATGATGAAAAAGGATTTTTTGTTTCCAATCTACTGCGAATATTTACAAAAAATTNATCCAGAAGCTGTTCAACCAGACACTACATTCAAGTCTACATATCATCGTTATAGCTTTATTTCAGATAAATTAAAAGAATGAACTTCAGCTCTGTAGTTCATAGCGTTTTTGAGCCCCCGAGTTTCCAAAAAATACATCATAATTTTTGGTCTAATAGTCATGCATTTCGAAATAATGTTTTTCTAAAAACTTTTTATACCGACAATGGCCGGAATGAAGATGTACTTCATACAAGTTCATTGTTTTGGTTTGGTTGTTTGACCTAACTATCAATTAATATACTCCTACAGGATTTCACAAATTGCTAGCTTTAGTTTTTTTTTCAAAAGCATGAGGATTACTGAGTAACAAGCGGTAATGATAAACTTTTCTAGACAACAAATCGGTGAGTGATGTGATTCGAATTTTCTAGTTCATCTACTCTCTGAAGGCTATCTTCTAACATGTTGTTACCATGGTAACACTGCCTGCTACCCTTCTTTCTTTCTAATGAGCCTGGCATCAGATATATCTCTATTTTTGAGTTTAACTCGTGCTCTCCCCTCTTTCTCCCTCTCGCGAACTTTTCAAGTTGTCAACTTAATTTAATCAACTTCGAGATATAAGAAAATGTTCGTTTGTTATGTTTCTGTTGTGTGAAGCTTTAGAAATGTTGTTGTCCCTTTTAAGATGTTTTGAACTGACTAAAATCCCTATTCTCATTTCAGAACAATGCGGAGACCATTCTTTCTCTTCATTCTATTCAATCTTTCCCTCCCGGCTGCAGTTTCTGGTGAATTTCTGGAAAGGTCCGATGCTTATGGAAGAATCTGGGAGAGCAGGACACCTCCTGACGGAATGAAACAAGACGTGTCTCATAATCACCTCGTTTTTGTTTTTCTGGCATTTCTTGTCCTTAGGTATATCTATCATACCAATGTAATCACCAAAATCTTGATTTCAGCGCCGTGATCTTGTTTTCTCGCTACTGCCGCATTGTATGTCTCCGTCCACGTGTAAAAAATGCTTCTCGCCGTATCCGGGGAGCTTATCGAGCCAGGGGTCACCACACTGTTCACTACATGAGAGGCCTCGACATTGATGACTCAGAGTTTTGTACAGAATCTATGATAGAAATGCCTACCAGGCTTGGTCGGAAACGGAAAATCGAGTTCTCGATTTTTCCGATTTTCCGATTTTTTCGAAAAATTTTTTCCGTCGGAAAATTTTCCGAATTTTTTTTTCGGAAAATTTTCCGAAAAATGTTCGGAAAATTTTTTCTCGAAATAATCATGCTGAGTTCAAAGTGAAGAGGAAATCTCTACTTTGTATAGTTGAAACTGGTGCAACAGTAACCCAAGCGCGGCAAGACCCGCAATCGGTGTCGATTTACGGGGTCGATTTAAGGTGAATTTTTTTAAAATTAATTTTTTTTGAATGAAAACATACTTTAATCAGGGTTTTCATTACTTCTTCAACATTTTTTTCGGTTTATACTGTTCTTAATAGACTTCTTTTATTGTTCAGTGATTTTTTACCTTCTCTCACTGAAAACACTTGGTTTTTTTCAGACTTTAGGTCATCAAAAGTTTTTCTTAAAATTGTTGGTTTTGCAGTGAGTAACTTTGTCTGAATTTAACGAAATTTTCAGACTAAACATGGGAAAATACTCAGCGGTATTGACAAATCTGGCGGATGGAAGGAAAAAGTGTAATATTTGCAACCGATTCTTCAACGAGCAAAAAGACTCCGGCACAAATTTGTATCGCTATCATTTTAAGAAGAAACACCCAGCAGAATGGAAGAAGGTAAGCCTGTTTCACGAAAATTCTCTAGAAATTGTTGCTTATAGGTATCTGGTGAAGACACCAGTGATGTAGAAGACGACGGTCCGCCAGTGAAGAAGCCAGCACTTCAGCAGAAAAGCATCCCTGAAATGTTCTCCGATTTCACTCCCGATGGTCAGAAAACCGCATCTATCGAACGAGCTGTTATGCAACTGATAGCCGCCGCACTTTTGTTACTTTTTGTTACTTGTGCTTGTTCATCTATTGTTTTCCATTTCATTTTTGTGCTTTTTGTTGTTTTTGTCAAATAAACTGGTAATTTTTGACTAATTGAAATTCGAGAAAATTCGAGAACTCGATTTTCCGAAAAAAAAAGTCGAGAAAAAATTCGAGAACTCGATTTTCCGAAAAAAAAAGTCGAGAAAAAATTCGAGAACTCGATTTTCCGGAAAAAAAGTCGAGAAAAAATTCGAGAACTCGATTTTCCGAAAAAAAAAGTCGAGAAAAAAGTCGAGAACACGATTTTCCGAATTTGTTTTTCCGAACAAGCCTGATGCCTACCCAAACCGAAAAGGCCAAAAAATGATTTAGTTTATTCTTTCTTTCTTTCTGTTTCTGTTTCTCCATAAAAAATTTAATGTTATCCTTGTTTATTATTGTAACAAACTTTTCTTGCTTCATCGTCTCTATTTCTATGATGCATTTTTCAAAAGTATGGCGCAAGAGCTTTTTCCGATTTTTCGAATTTCTCCTACCGATTCCTACTACAAAATACTTCTTCTCCTTCATTTTCCATTTTGCGTATCCTTGGAAACGCAAAATATTTTTGAGACACTTTTATGAGATGGCGCCGAACTAGAAGAGGGAGCTGTGTGAAAAAGGAAAATTAGCAAGTGAACAAAAATAATTGGCAGGATTAGAGATTTTTCAAGATTTGTGACAATCTGGAGGTAGTTAAATGTAGGATTAGTAGAAGTACACATGGTCTTACAGTAGGTAACCTTGTGTTTTTCAGTTTAAAAATTTCTCAAGAAAAGTTAACGGCAAAGAAAAAATATTTGAAGCTGGGAGCACATATTGAGGTTTGAAACAGAAAATCTCGGATAATTTTCACAACTTCACCTCTCTATATAGAAATTTTGGCACTCTTCTAGAAGAACAAAAAAAAAATCTCCGAACGAAAAATAAAATCACGTAACGAATTTTTTTCATCTATTTGAATGTCTCTTATGTGGTTTTGTGAAACATACTGTTTTATATGTTTCAAACATTCCAATTCTCATTTATCATCAACATTTTTGATGAAGAAAGCATTATTATCTGAATGTAACTTTATTGTGTTGCCCTCATTATCAACATTGAAATATAAGGGATAGAAGGGATAAAAAAAATACTGACTATATTTTGAGAAGTAAAAAAAACCGAAAGTCAGGTGTTGTTTCCGTTAAAAAATCTTCTCATTGCAAAGTGCCACTTTCACTGATGAAAATTGACTTTCACTGATGGAAATTGTGTCTAAATGATAAAAAAAGAACATATAGCGATTGATTTTATAAAGTTGGCTTTTTGCCTTTTTTGACGTGAAGATTTCCTGTGGGGGGGGGGGGGGGAAGTTTTTTTGTTGGTACTTTTAGAAGTGTTTTGAGCAACCAAACTTGTTTCTGAAGTAGAAGAAGCTGTTCGAGCACGCTGAACTGAACCGCGAACTGTCCCTCTTCTGCGAGCTCTGGCACGTAGTGTTCCTCTTCCTCGACCTCTCACAGCTGATGATGTCGGGGCTGAACCATGGCTTGTTTCAGGATCCGGACCGAGAATTGGCGATGCTTTTCCTGAATCTTGTTGAACGTTGAGTCCTGCAGCATTTGTTCCACGAGCAGTGGAAGGCCCTCTGTCACGATGCGATCCACGGCGTCCCCCGCGAGACAATCCACGGCGTCCACCACGTGACGATCCAAGGACTCTATATGTTTTTATCCCTGCTCTCCCTCATATTTCAGTGTTGATAATGAGGGCTAATTGGAATGTTTAAAACATATAAAACTGTATAAGTTTCACAAAACCACATAAGAGACAATCAAATAGATGAAAAAAATTTGTTCCGTGATTTTATTTTTCGTCCCGTGATTTTTTTCGTTCCATGATTCTAGAAGAGTGCCGAAAATTTTGCATCTCATTTTCGAGAAGAAAGATAAGGTTTATTATGCAAAAGGAGAAACAGGTTTTATTTATGAAACTAGAACGAGAAACATTCAAAAAATGAGAGCCCACAGAGAGCCTCGCTCGTCGAAATGTGTCTCTCAAGTAAAATGAACAAAGGTAAAAGAGCTTTTTCGTCAATCAAAAAAGCTTTTCCATCTGGAATCCACGTTTCCATGACCACCATTTCAAAAAATCATAGATGTCAGCTCGGATAGAAAAGGAGAAAAAGAGAGGAATTTAATCACAGATGACGCAAGCTCAAAAATGAATGGGGGTGTAACTAGGATTCGAATTCGTTAATTTCCAGTTGCGATATTTTGAAACAAAGAAAAAAACATTTGGAAAAACCAGTGTACTTCATACGGGTATTACCATTTGAGCTGGACGTGTGTGACCGGCGATGGCGGAACTGAATGAAATAAAGATTTGAAGTTTAACAACCTAATACGAAAAAACTTATGTGCTTGCATTTTCTTTGAACTTCTGAAAACTTAAAATTTTATAATTCCAAATAGTGGTCTTTTTTTTTAATTGAAAACACCTTTCGGATTACGGTAAATTTCAAAGTCAAAACTTGGAAGTCGAAGTTTAAATATCGCAAATCGGAAAATTGAAGTTTGACGTCGAAACTCGGAATACGGTTTTTCAGAAACTCTACCATACACCCCTTTATAATTTTTTTTGTTTTCAAGAATAGTGACGAGATTGAATTACACCACCATTAAAAAAGTGAAATCTAATTTCTCAGGCATTTTCAAGACTAAAATTGCCTGGCATGAGTCGATATGTTTGTCGCGTGTTTAGGTTATTCAGTGACCAGTGTTTTCCAATAGTAGTGTATCTCAAGCGATCTTCTAATATTCTTTAGGACTGCCCTGGTAATGACGACGATGTTCTACCAAATGATGTTCATTGAACTTTTCTATGGTGATTTCTCCTAGAAATTGTTTACTTTCTCGTGACTGTCCACTCATTTTCTTCAACACCAGCCCGTTCGCCACGCCTCTGGCTCTTCAAACAGCTGACTGGTGCGTTTTCGACGCGATTCAACCTTTTTTTAAACTTTTCGTCACTGAGCTCCATACTTTTTTTTGAAGAGTCACTTCAATATAAATTTTATTTGCAAGCTTTCAAAAATTGTGCGTATAGACAGACAAAGAGACGCAACTTTGTTTTTTCATTATAAGAATGATAAATCAATCTCTATTATGTTTCATTGATCTAGATCACCTCCAGCACTTTCGAATTTCCTAATTATTCTATGATATGATATTTAACTAATCACGCGATTCTGTTTGTCTTCTCCAATCCAGCTCGCCTTTTACTTCGCTAGTCGTACGGAAAAAAGTCTGTGCTGGCTGGTGGTGCCAGTCTGTCAGAGCGCATAACACCCCGACGGCGGGATTCAGGGCGACGCCGACAGCGAGAGACACACCGAGGGTCGAAAAGGAGGCGGAGCTCTTTTTCTGCAGTTGCTAGGCTCCAATCAACGGCTATTGGTTCCTAATGGCTCCGAGAGGCTTTTTACTGTTTTATGGTGCTCACATTATTTGATTTCAAAGCAACTGTGCTTTCGAGCCCTTAGTTCAAATTCCGAAGAATTGGGTTGTCTATGTCGGTCTGCTCCATCGTTTCCAATTTTTACTCTCATTTTTACTTCCGTTTAGAAATGTAGGTTCTCAATCATTCCTAAATCACCTCTTTCAACTACTCACTTTTATGCTTGTCCATTATCGGTAACTCATAATAAAATTTCTATTATGATCATATCCATGATCAATGACGCTCATGGATCTTTTGAAACTAGGAAGAAAAATTATCACATCACTGTCATCATGCACTTTTAATTTTCACTCTCCTGTAACTTCAAAAATGCATCACACTTCGGCTCTAGTATGAAATTCTGGTCCTTAAAAAAAAATTCTGGTCCTTAGAAAAAATTCTGGTCCTTAAAAAAAATTCTGGTCCTTAAAAAAAATTCTGGTCCTTAAAAAAAATTCTGGTCCTTAAAAAATTCTGGTCCTTAAAAAAAAATTCTGGTCCTTAAAAAAAAATTCTGGTCCTTAAAAAAAAATTCTGGTCCTTAAAAAAAATTCTGGTCCTTAAAAAATTCTGGTCCTTAAAAAAAATTCTGGTCCTTAAAAAAAATTCTGGTCCTTAAAAAAAATTCTGGTCCTTAAAGAAAGATGTGGGTATTTGAATAGCTTTCATGTTTTTGTTTGAAAATTTGGTTAGATTGAAACGTTTATTTATTCCAATCATGTTTTCAATAGTTTTGATGTTTTAAAAATAATTTTTTTTGTAATTTTGATTTTTATTCAGAAGAAGGTATAAGACTAAAAGGTGTGGCATATAAGAATTAGAGAGGATAAATAGTTCAGAACACAAAAAAAAGAATATCGGTTGCAACAAGATGATCTTATCCGCGTCCTTTGAACTTCCTTCGGCCGGTGAAAGTGGATTTTAGAGTAGTGGTTGTGAATCTTGGAGTAATGGTAGTCGATCTTGGAGTGGTGGTAGTGGGCCGCCCGCGTCTTCTTCTATCATTCCGAGTCTTCTGAGTGGTGATGGTTGTTTGTCTCGTTTCAGGGGCAGACGTCGTCCGTTTCGTACGAGGTTCTGTCGTGGTTCGTCTCGACTGATGGGAAGTTGTTCGTCTTGTTCTCATGGTGGTCGTGGTCCTCATGGTTGCTGTGGTTGTGATGGTGGTTGTAGGATCAGCTTTTCGACTTTGTGTCTTCTTCCGAGGTTTTCGAGTTTTGGTCGTCGTTTGCCTTGGTGTAGTTGACGAAATTGGTCTGTTGGTTTTGATAATCATTTCTGGCTTAGAAGAGGTGGTGGTTCTCATTGTAGAAGCGGTAGAAGAACTTCGACGTTCGTTTCTATTTCGATTCAAACGAGCAGCCATTGTGGTTTGTCTTGTTGAAAATGTAAAGGCGCGATTGTTTCTTTCATTTCGTTGTTT